TAGTTTTCGTGAACTTTGAAGACGGTTTGTTGGCTAGTGAGTCATCTTCAGATTTTCGTTTAAGTACTGGGTTTGGTAATAGTTTAAGACATTAATCTCATGTTTATGAGTAACCAAACATTAACCAATGGACCTAAACTATTTCAGGTTTGAGTCGTGTTCACCCTATTTTGTTTAAGGTAATGAAGGACTCTTAGTTAAATTCTCCCAAAATGATATGAGTAGAGTTGGCATTTACATTGAATTTCGCATAGCCAACTTTCATCACCTTAACAGAAATAGAGTAACCACAACTGGTAGTCTCTAAAACTTATTCAATAATTCAGAAATACCGAAGTTTGCTATACTATATTATGAGCACATTCGACGGTTGTTATTGCCGGCTTGATCTGTGTGGGTGGTATGAAATATGGGTGCAGCGGAACAGGTGGATGATTTGTCTATTTATCTGCAGGAGAGTCTAAAGAATTGCTTGGATTGATGCGAATAAGAAACAGCTTGTGTGTCTACTTTTTGAACTGGAAGTAGTAATCATAGAAGTAGGCATAGGTCAAACTAATACATGAAGAAAGCTGGGTTTCGTAACATCCCTTATGCAATTAATGTGGTTCGACTTTTTATTTAGAAGTAAAAGTTGGTTGAAAGGGAACCGTGAGTTGGCCGCCCAAGTTTGCATTAAAGTGGATATTAGTGGACTGTGCATTGTAGTACTCGGTTCCTGGATTCCCCGAGGAATTTTTGCAGAATCGAGCAGTCTTCACTTCAATACAAACTTATTTTGGCATTCGATAAGGCCAATTCATACATTACTTCCGACCAAGTTTTTGTTAGAATTCAAAATTCCAGTCATGGGTCAGATAAATGTCTCAAATGTCATGTTTCTAAAATTCACAGGCGTCCTGAGAGTCCTGACGATTGGTAGTTGAGATTAAAACCAAAGTTTCAGCAGTATCCCTCCTGTACTGGGAATGTGCCGCATCTGGCTTGACACAGATTCGATTTCCCTCCGCCTCCAACCACTTTCAGCGGATAATCTGTGAATACTTTGTCTTGGTTCCGTTGGTGCGCTGGACCGTGTGACCTGCTATGCCGACATAAGGGCATACATCTACTTGAACTATTTGGGCCCGAGCTGTTTCATACAGCCTAAAATGCCGTTTTGCTCGGAGATGGGCGCAATTCGTAGGCATGACGCTCAACTGTTGATCGGGGGTTGGATGCCACACAGTCGCATCAAAAGAGAGCGGTCAAGATGGAAAAAGGAAATAAAAAAGCCCAAAGTGAGAGGGACAGAAGAGCAGAGAGAGAGAGATAAAATGGTGAAGGGTGGGATTATAGAATTTCACAGGAAGAGGTGAAATTGGGCAAGTTGTAGGTGTAAAGAAGGAAATTCATTTTTTCCTCCTCTGGCTAATCGGAGTGCAACCGGTGCGCTGTTGATTATCTTATGCTGTACGAGCACTCTTTTCTTTGTGCACTAATTGCGGCGATAAGCAGGCAATGCATGAGAAAAATCGTCTGTGCTTTATATGCACGCATGTCTACAAGTATCGGTGGGCGTATGCCAGTCTGTTTGTGCACATGTGCATCCAACTGTGTGCAGAGGAGTGCGAGAGAATTCATAGTCATGCGAGGTAAACTTTAAGCAGGTTGGCAATGCCGATTCCATTCTGGCTGGTTGTGTGATATCACTTGATTCTGGGAAATCGAGATTTTCCTCCTATGACCTTGGCTATTAAAAAGAGCCCATCTTCCATATCGCAAGCAACCAGCTAATCGAATGAATATACTTATACACTTATACACACAAGCATACACATACACATACACATACACATATACACATGGACAAATACGTCTTCAGGAGGATAATTTGCTTACTGTGTGCTTCCAGACAACGCACAGTAATTAAGCCCATGATTTCTCGGCCAAACCAGCTTTGATAAAATTTCGATATATCCTCTGCGGCGACTCGACCATGTCTGCATGTAGGCACTAGACGACGACCCCAATAAGTGAACAGGGCTCTGCCAGAATATCATACTTTACTGAAGGTTGTGTTGTCATCAAGCCGCTGGCCCGTCTTCCCTGAGTAATCACAGACAGCAGTATCACAAGATATTCATTCATACGCCCTAGAGACGGTACCATACAGAACTATGCTGCCAAGCATTATAAAACATACCACATCATATTTTAACTTGCCTCCTGCATCAAGAGCTTTTTCGCAGGATATATCAAATGCTTACGACTTTTTTCCTATTATCTAGACTATATCATTTACGTGTAGCGCTTATTTTGGCTAGGATTAATTGTCCTCCCGTCCAGCCTGTTGTGGCGGAGAGTGCCAACTGGCACATTCATCTTTCCTGTAGGCCGGTCGGGATCGGGTGCCAAATCGGTTCTACGAGACAAATGAAATGGCGGCTGTCAGCTCACGTCTCTCTCCTTGCCTGAGTACTCGTCCGTGTGTGCATCAACAGGCCTGCAAACAACAGTGTCCGCATGCATCAGTGTGTGTATGTGCTTGTATATTCGGTGTCCACACACGGCTCCGGCCAGGTGCGGAAACCAGGTCCGCGCGGCCTTACATATCCATGCTGCCTCGAAGACATTACGTAAATCCCCGGCCTGGCCAATTTGGACCTGGCCGGATGCAGTTTTCCATGCGTCTGGCTTGTTCCGCTTCTGTCTG